AGGTTGTACCCAGTAAAAGGGTTTATTTAGTTTTCTCTCCAGGCAATGAAGTATAGATGTGTTTTTACTTTGGAGGAAGTAAAGCAAACGAACTAGCATTTATTGAGGGCCAGGTATACCAGGCTGTATGTAAGTAGCTTTATATATGCGTCTCCTTCAGTCTGCACTACAGTCCTTACAAAAAAATAGTGGTTATTCTCTTTAATAGACAAGGAAATCAAGACTTTAAGGATCGAGTCTGAGGCATATAGCTTGTAATTGTCAAAGAGGACATCCAAACGTGAATCTGTCTGACAATTGCCAGTTATTCATAGTGCTATTCTCTGAAGCTCTCAAGTTTATAGTAAACGAATTGCTGTGCTGTTCATATACAAAAGCTTAAGGTTAGCAGATCATAAAAGGTGGTGTGGATAAAGAGCAGTTACAAGTGATATTTGCTGGCATGCAAAAATAACAGAAAATGGGCCAAGAGGAGGATTCCTTATAGCCAGGCAGAAATGTCTGTTAGAATATGTAGGAAAGGATCACATCATCATAGAACTTGAGTGAATGTGAGCCTGAGGGAAGATTCGTAGCAGTGATTTTATCAGAAGTGAGTCATCTGACAGCTCTAATCAGAATCACCCCCTTTATTATAGCTGAGGTCATCCATGTGCTTTCTCTGATGTTCCTGTTTCAAGAAGAGATTGATTCCAGACAAGTGAGACATACCTGAAGATTCTGGTGTGGACATTATAAATGGCCTGACAAGAAAGTGAGCTTCAGATTTTAGAACTTGGTGGTGGTGGTAATGTTCGAAATATTTAACAATCTGTGTTGTTCTATAGCAGCACTTTGCAAACTTCCACTGTACTAACCCTAAGGGGAGGAAATTAAAGGCGCCCTCAGGAGTCTTGAGACATCACCTGAAGAGATACAGGAGTAATATGTATATTTTTAAGTCTCTTGCTTTATATTTAGGGAACGCTTTTGTTCATTTCCGTATCTATTTGTTTTAATGAAAGTTAAATTATTTTACTGATTGTCTCCCTACCCTTACCTTAAATCTTCAAGTACCACTGACAGCCTAGAAAGAGGGTGCTTGTTCTACCGTGACGTAGCAGGCTCCTACCCTTTAGCCCGGAGCAGGTACCGCAGCGTGAGACGTACCGTCTTCCAGGGCTTCTGCTGCCGCACAAGCATCTCCTGAGGATTTACAGAAAACAGCGGGCACCACATTCTTGTTGACTTTACCACACCTTGTGACTCCCTCACTTTTCTTGTTCCTTCTCCCCCTCCAGTTCGGATTTGTTGTTTATCAAACTCGCGTGTTTTCTTTCTTTCACTTGATTGGCATGACTTTTTAAGGGCTTGGTCTCTTGATCTGTCCCTCTAGTTTTATTTTTGGAGTTTCTTTTTTTGTCTTACCAGGGGAATGTAACCAAATATATCTGTCTGATTCTAGCAGGTACATATTTTTCCCTCTTGATGCTGCTTAATAGTTTATTGGAGGCACAGTTACTGTATGTAGGACCTTACAAATGGCAGGCTTAATGTGGTATTGTTTGTTGTGGGTCTCTTCTGGGGCTGGTGGCACAGGTGGTGGTGGCAAAGTGTCATTTCTGTCTCTTGGATGGAAGGGAACAAGCCCAGGCCAGCGTATAAGAAAACTAGCTTCAGGCTGCGAATGAGTGCCAGCTTATGCATTGTATTTTCTGGTTAACTCCCAGTTGACTTCCAGTTTTTGCTACAGTCTTGAGTAGGGAGGGTTCAGGGCGTCTTGGTAATTCAACAGCAGCAAGGATTTCCTTTGCATTATATTTTCATACCTAAATCTTACATGAAAAGGGTTGTTTACTGACTCTCTGATTAACTAGGCTTGGTTTATGTGAAGCCTTTGAGACCTGTTTTGGACATGATTTGTGCCCAAGTTGCTTTCTCTCCTGAAACCTAATTGTTGACTTGTAACTAGTCTAATCTTGCTTCATTATACGTTTCCCCACTATCCCCCTGTAAAACCGTCTTTTGTACCAAATGCAGTTGTATCTTTTGAATGATGTTCATTACAATAGCTTTTTACATAGGTCTTGTAGATTTTGAAAATTTTTTTAGCTAACATGTCATCATATCTTCATAATAATTCCATGGGAGAGGCATTTATAAAACAGAAAATAGCAGTCCACCCATGGAGATAGCTATTCTGTGTTTTATAAATGAAGAAACAGGAAATGGTGGACGTGACTTGCAGCTTAGTGGCAAAGCCAGGTCTGACCAGCTCTCTGGGCTCCCAGTCTGCCTAACCTCTATTAGTGTTTAGAAACATTTCTGGAAGTCTCCCAAGTTTTCCAAAAGTAGAAAAAAATTATTATGTAGGTTGAGTTGTCTTTAAAGAAGACAGCTCTAAAATATTTTAAGATCGCTTTTTTTTTTTTTTTTAAGTGTCTTAAATTCAAGGAAGAAACAGTGTTTTTTTCTGAATATCCGACTAGGACCTGTCCCTGTATTAGACAGATTAAGGATGTTTGCTTCCTAAGAACAAAGCAGGCTGAATCAGAAAAGAGATGAGTGGTGGCTAAGTTTTTATTTTTCTCCGTAGTTCTAGGGATAGTATTTTACCCCTTTGAAATATTGTGAGGTGGTCATGGATAGAAGGATCACACCTGTGGTTCCTAATAGGAATTTCTGTGTCCATGACATTTCTCAAAAGTAGAATTGAGGCCCCCTAGCAATCGTAAGAGTTTTTAAACACCTGTAGAAATGATACATTTCCATAAAGTAAAGCTGTAGAACTTAAAATGTCAAACGTCTTTACTTTTGGCTGGAATTTAATGAGCCTGATTAGAAGCTCTAGTTTGCAGCAATGGGCATGCTAATTATTTTTGAAAATTGCCGTTTGTTTGTAGACAAGGAGTAGTTCATGAGGAGAGAAAATCAACTCAGTGTTCTTGAAGGCTTCTTACGGTTAGAATCTGAGATGAGCTGTGCTGCAGTGATAGGGATTATCCACGAGGTGGCACCAAGACTTTGTTTAACTGTTAGATCCGTAGCTAGCGCCTAGAATACTTGAAGCCCCTTTCACCTTCTCCCTTTGCAAACTATGGCTCAGCTGCATCTGTGCCCTCAGTTCTGGTCCCCAGCCTCCCCCCAGTCCCCTTAGTGCTGTTATTTGTGCTTTGTATTGGCACCTAACCTCATTCTACCTGTAGTGAAAGCTGTAGGTCTTGGTTCCCACTCTAGATGGTAGGCTTCCTGAGTGGAGGTACTAGCTGCATATACTTTAAAGCATATTCTTTTCTGTATTTCCAGCAGTGCCAGGCACAGGACCTCTGAGTTGTATTGTTGAATTAACATCTTTTGGTGATTTATGGGTTAATTGTAGACTTCATAGGGTTCTCAGAGTATTTTCTGCTTTGAAGAGTGTGTTTATCTTCCCAGCTGCATAAATGAATTTTTGGGGTAAGGACTGGGATTTTGTGTCTGTAGTTTGTATAGTTTCATAGACTTAACTCTGCAGCACACTCTGACCAACCACTTTCAGTAACTTCAAAGACACTTGGTTAAGGAACTCATTCCTGTGCATAGGTCTTCCCTGATGCTCTGCAGTTGGTCTTGGCAGTGGGACCTTCCTGTGTGACAGACAGCAGATGGCCATGGAGTTCCCAGGCTGTGTGCCATGTAGGTAGGAGCTTGGAAAAAAGCAGAAAAGAAACTTCCTTTGTAGCTGTCTTGTCTCTGCCTTATTTGGGCTCCCAGCAAGGACTCTTGCTGCAGGCAGACCTGTGTGATCAGGAAAGAAAACTGACTCTTACCAGGGAAGGGCCCGGGAGGGGCAGTAATACCATGAGCATATTTTAGTTGAATTATGTCATTTTATTGGGGACCATTAAGTAAATAGCTGTTGAGATTTTTCTTTTTCAGAAAACAGATAAGGCTTTTAAGCCAATTGGGAGGAAATTTGAAAAGATTTTGTAATAATGTTATTTCATTAATTTCACCCAACCCACACAACTAGGTTACGTTTTCTAGGCCTCACACTGACTCTGGCTTCTTCATTGTGTGGGTACCTTTTCAAAGTGTTTGATTGGACAACATGTTTAGAAGTTCTTTGGTTACAAGCCCAAAAATGCAAAACTTTGAGCAAACAGCATTTACACTTACGTAATTTAATTTTAGAAATTAGCCCTAATTGAAGTGATCCTGGAGATGGTAATGTTGGTGTGGCACCTGGCTACTTCTCTAAACGCTGTTTAGTTCCCTGATGAATTTCATCAACTAAGGCCGTGTTTTTATTTCTAGAGCTGGGAGTACCAAGCTAGCAGCTGTGACCTTTGAATGTGTAGAGCACCAGAAGTTCTGATTATGAGATGAAGAGAAAATGACAGCTTTTCTTGTCGATTAAAAAACTAGTACTCACTCATGGTATTCCTTTGTCCTTTGCCCTACAAACAGAGCAGAGACTGTGACCCCTTATCTTTGGGGTGACATTATTTTATTTTTATTTTTTGAGACGGAGTCTTGCTCCATTGGCCAGGCTGGAGCGCAGTGGTGCAATCTCAGCTCTCTGCAACCTCTGCCTCCTGGGTTTAAACGATTCTCTGCCTTAGCTTCCCAGGTAGCTGGGATTACAGGCACCCACCACCGTGCCCACCTAATTTTTGTATTTTTTTTTAGTAGAGATGGGGTTTCACCATGTTGATCAGGCTGGTCTTGAAGTCCTGACCTCAAGTGGTCCACCCACCTTGGCCTTCCACAGTGCTGGGATTATAGGCGTGAGCCACCATGCCTGGCCTGGGGTTGTGTTATTTTAAAGAATGTGATCAGAATTGACCTGTTAGCTACTTGACTTCTCTGTGAATTTCTGTGTCAGTTTATTGTCTTTGGCAGTGGAATTTAGATTCATTAGACCAGAGTGGGATGGTTTATAAGTACATTTCAGCAATGCATTAAATAAGTTTTTTTGGAAAAAATTTGTGAACTGCTAGCACAAATTGGCATCACTAACATGGCTGCTTTGTTTTTAGGTGATTGGTGCGGACAACGTGGCAGTCCCCTCACACCTTTATAAGGTGATCCTGGCCCGCAGAAGCCCAGTCTCTACTGAACCACTGGCACTAGGGGCCTTTGTGGTACCCAATGAAGCCATCGGCTTCCAACCCCAGTTAACTGAGTTCCAAGTGAGCCTCCAGGACCTAGAGAAGTTGTCAGGACTGGTGTTTTTTCCTCATTTGGATAGAACTAGTGACATCCGGAATATCTGCTCTGTGGACACCTGTAAGCTCCTGGATTTCCAGGAGTTCACCTTGTACTTGAGCACAAGAAAGATTGAGGGAGCCCGATCAGTGCTCAGACTGGAAAAGATCTTGGAAAACTTGAAGAATGCAGGGATTGAACCAGATGATTACTTCATGAGTCGCTATGAGAAGAAGCTAGAAGAACTCAAAGCAAGGGAGCAGTCAGGAACCCAGACAAGAAAGCCTTCCTAGTTTTTACTCTCAAGATGTGTGATACCGTCTGTAATGGAGCAGGCATGCCCTCTTTAGGCTAACATATTTTAGTGGCTTTGCTTTTTGCTTTAAAAAATTTTTTTTCTTTAAGACATCGGATCTCGCTATGTCATCCAGGCTGGACTCCAGTGGTGCAATCATAGCTCACTACAGCCTCGAACTTCTGGGCTTAAGCAATCCTCCTGCCTCTGCCCCCTGAGCAGCTGGGACTACAGACACATACCATAACCCTCAGCTACCAGTGGCTTTGCTTTAAACAAATGATGGAATCCTAAATTTACGACTAAAAATTCCCCCAAAAGACGAAAGATCTACAATCTTTAGTTTGACTCAGGAACTAATTATTGAGGGAGCTGTGACACCTGCAGATGGAGGGGTGATCTTGTGTCAAGATGACACGCATTTGTGTCCCTCTGGGTGTAGAGTATTGGGAAGGCATTGTTTGGTTTCATGCCTCCAAACCATATGTTGTCTTTGATGTATCTGCTCAGCCTTCTTAGAACTCAGTGTTGTACATTTTTCCCCACTAGGACCTGAATTGTTCCTGGAGGCGGCTTTTAGAAATCTTCTATGTAGTTCCTGTCCACATGCACTGTGTATTTGTTTCTTCTTTCTCCTCTCATGAACCTGCTGTTTCTGTACTTGTATGTAGAAGCACTCACCTGCTCACTAAATGTTTCTGTATGTTAGGCTCAGTGCTTTACATGTGTTATCTCACAATGACCCTCTGAGATAAATACCACTATCCCCATTTTACCTGTGAGAAAATTGAGGCTTGGAGAGCTTATATCTTACCCAGGTTTCACTTTTCCAAAGTAGTCATCCACAAAGTATGAGGCAGACAGATGTAAGAGAAGAAACACAGCTGAGGCAGATTCAGATCTTTCCTAGCATGGATGGTGGCTTTTGACGCAGAAATATTTACCTATTTTTGTGGGTATTTGTGGGCCTGAGGCGTGCTTGGTAAGAAGAGTCTGGTTTCTCGTCTGCTATGCAAGCCAAATGGACTTTAATGTCCTTTGAATTGAACCCTCCTTAGCTCTTTGGAAAGAGATAGAGTGGGTACTTGGGAATTAGAGGGTAATACTTTGTGCAATTTGTTAGAGCCCATACGTGCCTCCAGAGATACACTTCTTTCAGTGACCAGATACTGCCAAATTGATGTGTTCTTGTTTTCCAGGTGAGCTGTAGACTCTAAGAAGGGTCTACAGCCATGCACTGTGGCTCAGGCCTATACTTAGTACTTTGGGAAATTGAGGTGGGTGGATCGCTTGAGCCCAGGAGTTTGAGACCAGCCTGGGCAACATAATGAAACCCTGTCTCTACAAAAAATACAAAAATTAGCTGGGTGTGGTGGTTCACACCTGTAATCTCAGCTACTTGGGAGGTTGAGATGGAAGGATCACTTGAGCCCAGCAGGTCGAGGCTGTGACGGGCCATGATTGTGCCACTGCACTCCAGCCTGGGTGATAGAGGGAGACGCTGTCTCAAAAAAAAACAACAAAAAAAGAAAAAGGTCTGCCCACAAAGTCACCAGCTTATGATTTGCTTGACTCTGCGTCTGCTTGTCTACCTAGCATAGGGCAGGTGGTACTTTGGGCCAAAGGTCCGAAGGCATTTTGCATGCCTAGGGGAAATCGTGGCTGCTTTTCTGAGCCAGATCTCTTTATTTGGGTTTAAATGGAGTCCTTTCATGGACCATCCTGAATATTGTCAGTCAGAAGTCTTGGGGCTTAAGAACTTGTCTGAATCCATCATACCACTGCTGTCTTCCAAGCGGTATTACAAGAAAGAGTTTGTGGTGTGTGTGTTCTAAGAGAAATGCCAAGGCTTCCAGATAAAGGTAAGATGGTAATGATTGGCTTTGTTCTGCTCTTTTGTTTGGGTGAAAAAGAAAAGTTGACGGGTCAGAACACAGTAGCCTGATTAGTGCCATTCTGTTTTATCACACTGTTCCCATTAAGTTGTGCCAGTTCTCCTCTCCCCAGGAATGTAGAGCCAAAATGTCACTGTGACCAAACAATGTGTTACTTTCTCTTCTCAATGGAGAGGTGATTGTGGGGCCTGGTTGTTTCTCCAGGAGTGTAAGGGGCAGCTCTGTGGCATCAGTCTTGCTGCCCATCTCTAGAGGCGGGCTCCCAGCGCCCCTGTGGCTGTGCTCTGTGCTGAGCCACATTGCTGGCAGCCTTGGAGTTGCTGCTCCTGCTCTTCTTGCTCCTGTCTCTTCACCTAGTTGGTAGAATCTCTATTTTTAGATTAATAAAGTTTCTTAGGGTTTTATTTCTTTTGAAAGATGCCACCCAGTCATTGTGATAAATGGAGGTAAGAGCTTGTAATACAAAGTTGCAGTCTGCCAGTCCTCACTTTTAAAAATTTATTTATTTATTTAAACGATTTGCAAATCAGGGAGACTTTGAAAAAATTTGTTAGTATGTAACGGTGCTTGAATTGTCTCAACACTTTCATTAAGAGTTCCCCCAGCCCAGTGCGGTGGCTCACGCCTGTAATCCCAACACTTTGGGAGGCCGAGGCGGGTGGATCACGGGGTCAGGAGATTGAGACCATCCTGGCCAACATGGTGAAACCCCATCTCTACTAAATTACAAAAAAATAGCTGGGTGTGGTGGTGCATGTCTGTAGTCCCAGCTACTCAGGAAACGGAGGCAGGAGAATTGCTTGAACCTGGGAGGCAGAGGCTGCAGTGAGCCAAGATTGTGCCACTGCACTCCAGCCTGGGCAACAGGCCAAGACTCTGTCCAAAAAAGAAAAAAAAGGAGTTCCCCAAACAAACTTGTAATAATTGGTTAGAGGTCAGAATTCTCCTCCTGTCATATCGCCTCAGCCCCCGCAGTGTGGCTGTCGATCACCCTGGACTCGGAATCAGCGTAGGCTGAGCCTGCGTGTCTGCCTGTGTTCTCATTACCCTCAGTCCCTGGTCTGAGGGAAAGGCTGCGGTAGAGGAAGTGCCAGTCTGGGGAGGCTCTTCTGCTGGAAACACACATCCCAAGTTTCTCTTCTCCCTCAGTGATACCTTCATTGTGAAATTCCGAACTCTGGTCTCTGAATTGAGGCTGTTTCACCACTATTGTGTGTAGCAATACAAAAAATTGCAAAGGTTAGGAGAACGGGTGCCAGCCCCCTAATTAAATACCTGTGAATATTTCTGCCCCTCGTACCTTGACCTTCAAGCAATGGAAAACTTTTGTCTTTTCTTCAAACCTTTGATTAGAGCTATAGGCTGTGCTCTGTCCTTGGAATGACCGAAGGTTGCCATGTCACCTACCTGTGTCCTCTGGCCTCATCCTTGTGAGTACGTAAGTGTCATTGACATCAGCTCCAGGAGTCCCGAACTTCCCATTAGCAGCCCGTCCCTGAAGCTAACCTGTACTGAGGCTCTGCTGTTTGTTCCCAGCTCACTCCATTCGCCTCACCCATCTGTCCTTCCACCACCTGGCACAGCTCCATGTGCCTCCTGTATGCTCACTCTAGTTCGTTCTGGTGGATTTGGTCAGGGCTGGGCTCACATCAGGTGTGAAACTCCTGCTCCTGCCGGTCTCCATGGCTAACCTCCATCTGGCATGCTGTCCTGGGTGTTGTCATTCTTAGCGATTGTCTATCAGGGATCCAGCGTTCCTTTTTTTAGTGTAGTTCCACTGTCAGGGAGCAAACCTCAGGTCATGAGGGCCGAACAAGATGGACTGCGTTGACATGGGCCCCATGCAGTTCATGACAGTGGGGGTGCCGATGGGCTTCTCTTTCCTGCTCCTCAATGTGCCACCTGTGGCCAAGGAGTGGACTGCCCCTGAGTGTGCCAGGTCCTTCTGGGGGTCACTGTGGCCTAGTGTCACTGCAAGGCTTAGCCTCAGCTGTGGCACCACCCCAGTATCGAACTTCCAGCTCTTTAAGCCACAAAGAACGCAGACCGCTTCAGACATCAGGCACCTGGCTGTCAGGCTGGATGGATAGCAGAGGTTATCTTGTCCAGTGAGTCTCATGTTTGGCTCACATTAGAATAGTGTAGAAGCGTAGTCCCCCCCACAACTTTATTTTGAGAAATTTCAAGCCCACAAAAAACGTTGAAAGAGTGAGTGATTTCCCCCCACCCCAAATTTTGTCTCATGTGCTTTCTCTTTTTTCAAAATTATTAAAAGTAATTTGCTGGTTTTTAAAAAAAATAGTAAATTATAGACATGGCACGCTTCACCTTTTTAATACTTCAGCTTGTATCACCTAAGAATAAGGACATTCCCCAATAATTCTAAAATATCATATCTAAGAAAATTACCGGAATGCAATATCATCTAATAAACAGTGCCTATTAAAATTTGCCTGGGCGTTCCAAAATGTCATTTAAACAGTTTTTTTCCTCCTAAATGTACGTTTCAATCAAGGTTCATATTGTTATAACTAGTCTCAATCTACAATAATCTGCCTCAAAAAATAAATTCTCCAACTGTTCTTGAGGTTTTGATTCTATAGATTTGATGTGAGGCTGGAATCAGTATTTTCTTTTCTTTTCTTTTTTTTGAAAGAGTCTTGCTGTGTCACCCAGGCTGGAGTGCAGTGATGTGATCTTGGCTCACTGCCACCTGTGCCACCTGGGCTCAAGCAATTCTCCTGTCTTAGCCTCCTGAGTAGCTGAGACTACAGGTGTGTGCCACCACACCTGGATAACTTTTATAGTTTTAGTAGAGATGGGGTTTCACCATGTTGGCCAGGTTGGTCTTGAACTGGCCTCAAGTAATTTGAGGCCACCTCGGCCTCCCAAGGTGCTGGGATTAGGCGTGAGCCACTGCACTCAGCCTGGAATGTGTATTTTCTAGATGGTCAACACTAGTAATTCTACTGATCAACCAGGGTTTGGAGCCAGACTGGCCTTTACTATACCTCCACCCTCTCCCAGTACATACAGCCACTGGACAGGAGTCCTTTGTCAGATAAGTGGTCTTCGAGCTTCCAAGTATCTCTAAGGGAGTATTTTCTATCCCTTTGGGGCCCTACGATGCAATTTTCTTTATAGTAGATCTTCGTAAGATGAAGTTGAAACCTTCCCTTGTAATTCCTACCCATCAATGACAGGCCCAAACTGCCATTCCAGGCCACGCAAAACTGGCTGGCACCTCCTTTCACCTGAGAGTCCTTCTGAGATATTCAGCTTATAAGGACACGTGGCATCTCATTTCGCGTTCAGGTGCTCATGAATTTCAGACCTTTCACCATCGTGATTTTATATGGCTTCATGATGTGGCAAGGCATTCAGGACGCAGTGATAGCAGTCCTCAATTGAGTCCAGGAGACTGGCCGCTTTTCTCAGGGACACTCCACTTTTCACACCGTATTCCATTGATTCCTGTGAAACTTGGTCCGACTAACTGCCTCCAGTCTTTTCACATGATAGATCTGCTGTCAGATCACTTTCCCATTATGCACTTACATAGCCAATTTTTGGAGCACAAATGTGAGATTTTATGTATGCCCAACTGTTAAGATTTCATCTTGTTACAGTTTCTACCCGTCTTCAAGTGAGTTCATATTCTTGGTGATCCTGATTTGGCCATCTGACATGTTGGCTATGCATCCCAGCTTTGAGATAGCAGATTGGATAAACAAGCCTTCAATGTGTTTGTTAAAAACATTGAACAAGACAGAGCCACGGAAGATCCCTTTGGTAAAAAACTCATTTTACATGGCAACCCACTTCATATGCCCAGCAAGTTTCATGTGATCATGTGCTCTGATATTTTCTATTAACTTCATTTCTGTTTCTTTGTTTATTTATTTATAGAGACAGGGTATCACTTTGTCACCCAAGCTGGAGTGCAGTGGTGTGATGGTAGTTCACTCTAACCTTGAACTCCTGAGCTCAAGTGATCCTCCTGCCTCAGCCTCCTGAGTAGCTAGGACTACAGGCATGTACCAGCATGCCTGCCTAATTAAAATTTTTTTTTCTGAAGATGAGTTCTTGCTCTGTTGCCCAGGCTGGTCTTGAACTCCTGGCCTCAAGCAATCCTCTACCTTTGGCCTACCTCAGCGCTGGGATTTTGGGCTTGAGCCAAGTTGCTCAGCCCATTTCTGTTTCTTTAGAAAGAAAAACACGGAACTGATTGCCCTGTGCAGAAGTGGGTCTCCATCACGATTTGCCTGTGAGTCACACTGGGAGAGGGAGAGCGCCTGCCGCATCTCTGGGTCCACATGGCATGGCTGGGTCAATGCTTTGGACACCAGCAGTGGGTGGGGAGGCTGCTGTGGGGACTTGGGGTCCCGCTTAATCATCTTTCTATTCACCAGTGCAGGGTGATTGAGGACAACTGACTTCATCCTTCTGAATCAGGTTGAGAAGGACCTGCAGCATTGGTTGAGGATTGAATAAGGTAATATATGCAGTTTGGCAAGCTCTTAAATGGTAGCCAGTTACTGTGGATTCTTGAGAATGATTATTGGTGACTGATGAATGTCATCCTGATCTGAGAGAGTGAAGGACAGAGCCAGACCTCAGTATGGTGTTGACCTCTGGACGGTGGAAATGGTTCAGTCTCTTCCCAAATCCTCAGACTGATGTGTTGCTACCAGCCCTTTGAGCCTATCAGTGCTTTGCAGTTTGCAAAGCGCTTTCCAATCAGAGCTTATGCACGCCACCATTTGAATCGGTGCAATTCATCTCATTTCAGAAACAAAGAAACAAACTCTAGGAATTTACCAAGATTTTCCAGCTTCCAATCTAATGTTTACCCTCACCTCCCCCCTCAAGATTGTTGCAGTTATTTTAATTTGCCTTATAATTCGGTCATTCATGCATTTACTCATTTTAGCCCTACAGTGCCCTGCTAACTCTTTAGAGGCAGGCACATAATGGAGTTGACTCTTTTCTGAGGCCCCTGCAGGGTTTTGCAAATAGTAAGTGTTCAAGAAACGTTTTGCAGTTATGCAACAAGTCAGAAATGTTGAGCGTATCCTGCTTGAGTCCTAATGTGCTCAGTCACTCGGGGCAGGGGGCTCGGGGACACAGAAGGGTGGAGACCTGGGAGCTGCTCGGAGGCTGTGGGCAAGCCTGTGTCTTCAAAGTGCCCTGGAGTTCAGGCATGCTTTTCGAGGGCACCCTATGTTAGGCTCTGCAGTATGGTCTCTGGTCTGAGGCAGTCACCCTGGTGGGAAGATGGAAGCGTGGAGGTGGCTGTCAGAGTGTGTGTGTTTGACCCTGGGAGAAGCAGAGCTGAAATTAAGTCTTCCAGCTGCATGCAGGTGTGAAGCCCCACCCCCTTACCGACCCCCGAACAGGATCTCAGAATT